CCTCGGGTGAGGATAAAAAAAATAAAAAATAAAAATAAATCAATCAATTTGGCAAAGTAGCAGGATACAAAATTAACGTCAAAATCGATGGTATTCTTATACACCAATGATGAACTCACCAAAAGAGAAACTCAAAAAACAATCCCATTTATCATCGTGGCAAAAAAAATTAAGATACCTAGGAATAAACTTAACTAAAGAAGTAAACAACCTATTTGCAGAAAACTACAGGACATTGAAAAAAGAAATAGAGGAAGATATAAAAAAGTGGAAGCACATGCCTTGTTAATGGATTGGAAGATTTAACATTATTAAAATGTCCACACTGCCTAAAGCACTCTATAGATTCAATGCAATCCCCATCAAAATACCAACGACATACTTCACAGAACTAGAATAAATACTTCAAAAATTCATATGGAACCAAAAAAGACCTCAAATAGCCACAGCAATCTTGAAAGAGAACAACAAAGTTGGAGGGATCACATTACCAGATTTCAGGTTATACTACAAAGCCACTGCAATCAAAACAGCCTGGTACTAGCACAAGAACAGGACTATAGAGCAGTGGAATAGAACAGAGAACCCAGAAATGGACCCGAGGCAATATGCTCAATTAATATTTGATAAAGGTGGCAAGAGCATACAGTGGAGTAAAGACAGCCTCTTTAATAAATGGTGTTGGGAAAATTGGACAGCTACATGCAAAAAAATGAAACTAGACCATCAACTTACACCATACACAAGAATAAACTCAAAATGGATAGAAGACTTAATTGTGACTCATGAATCCATAAAAATCCTAGAAGAAACTGTAGGCAGCAAAATTTCAGACATCTCACATAGCACAATTTTCACCAATATATTACCTAGGGCAAAAGAAACAAAGGGAAAAAAAATAAACAAATGAGACTACATCAAACTAAAAAACTTCTGCACAGCAAAAGGAACAGGCATCAAAATAAACAGGGAACCCACTGCTTGGAAGAACATATTTGCCAATGATACATCTAATAAGTGGTTAATTTCCAAAATATATAAATTATTCATACAATTCAACAAAAGGAAGACAAACAATTTAATTAAAAAATGGGCAGAGGTCCTGAATAGACACTTCTCCAAACAGGACATACAAATGGCTATGAGACATATGAACAAAACGCTCAAGGTCACTAATCACCAGAGAGATGCAAATTAAAATGACAATGAGGTACCACCTCACACCTGCCAGAATGGCAACTATCAATAAATCAACAAACAACAAGTGCTGGCAAGGATATGGAGAAAAGGAAACTCTAGCACACTGCTGGTGGGAATGCAGACTGGTACAACCACTCTGGAAAACAGTATGGAATTTCCTAAAATAATTAAAAATTAAACTGTTTAACCCAGTGATCCCACTCCTAGGACTATATCCTAAGAATCCCGAAACTCCAACCAGAAAGAATACATGTACCCCCTATGTTCATAGCAGTGCTATTCCCAGTAGCTGAGATCTGGAAACAGCCCAATTACCCAGCAGTAGAGGAATGGATAAAAAAATTCATGGTACATTTACACAACAGAATACTATGCAGCTGTGAAAAAGAAGGATCCATTACCCTTTGAGACAGCACTGGGGGACCTGGAGAGTATTATGCTAAGTGAAATAAGCCAATCAGAGAAAGATAAGCATCACATAATATTAATTATATGTGAAATCTAATGAATGAAATAAACTGATAAATAAAATAGAAACAGAGGTATGGAAACATGGGATAGACTGATGAACTTCAGAGGGAAGTGGAGGGAGTGGGGGGTGGGAAGAGATTAACCAAAGAACTTACATGCATATATGCATTATGCATGGCAAGGTAATGGGGTGAGACAGGAACCGGGAGGAGGGGGGTCACTGGGGGAAAAAATAGGAAACATCTGTAATACTCTCAAGAATAAAGACAAAAATATATATAGGTTTCAGGTGTACAATTCTATAATCATCTGTATATTGTATTGTGTGTTTGGTACCCCCAGTGAGAAAAATAATTTTAAAATAAATATGGCAAATGTTAGCAATATATAATTGAGTGATTCTGGGTCAAGGGCTTATGGGAATTCATTGTTCTATTCTTGCGACTTTTTCTGCAAATTTGAAATTATTTCAGGATAAAAGTTAAGAATTTAATCCCTCCCCCATATTTCTGAAGCACCTATTATATGCCAGACAGTATAGGTGATGGGGATTCAGTGATGAATTTCATATACAAAGGCCTTGCCTTTATGGCGCTTGAATTTCAGTGGATTAACTTGAGTTCTATCTGTAAAAATATAGATTAATCACATTTCTGTAGTTTTTCTCCAGTGAGGCAGATGGATGGTAAAATACTTGAGTCATGGTTCAAATATTTCTCTATGCTAGAAATTAGTGCTACCCCATAGAAATAAAATGAGTCACTTATATAATTTATATAATTCCTAATAGCCACATTAAAAATAGTAAAAGTAAAGGTGATATTAATTTTAATAATGTATTTTATTTAGCTGAATATATCCAGAATACTATTATCTTAACCTGTAACCAATATAAAATTATTAATGATGTATTTTATGGTTTTTTTGATGCTAAGACTTTGAAATCTGGTGTGTTTTACATTTACAGTACATCTCAATGTAAACATATACCACATTTCAAATACTCAAGAGCCATATACGGCTAGTGGCTACCATATTGGACAATGCAGTTCTAGATGAGTACTTCTCAAACTTTAGCACACATAGGAATAGTCCAGAGAATGTTAAAACACAGATTCCTGGGCTTCACCATCAAAGGTAAGAGGTGGAGCCTGAGAGTTTGCATTTCTGACAAGTTCCCAAGTGATGCTGATGTAGCCATGACACAGACCACAGTACTTTGAATAGTGTTGCATAACACACCCCGCACATCTCCTAGTGAACTGTAGAGCTTTTAATGATGATGATAGTGCTAATATTTTAATTTTCAAAAGCATTTTGAAATTCAAATTAAAACCAAAATGAGGTATTACTATACACTCATCAGAATGGCCAAAATGAAAAATAGTGATAACACTTAATGCTGGTGAGGATTTGGAAAAACTGGATCACTCATACATTGCTGCCAGGAATTTAAATAGTTTGGCAATTCTTTGAAAACTGAAAATGATTCTTAATGTTTTGAGATCTGGAGAGGGCTATAAAGCCATGAAAAGTCATGGAGGTAACTTAAATCATGGACACAGTGAAAGATCAGTGGTTGCCAGGGTGGAGTGGGAGGATAAATAAGCAGAGCACAGGTTTTTAGGGAAGTGAAACTCTACTGTATGATACTATAATAATGAATAAATGTCATTAAATATTTGTCAAATCTCAGAACATATAACACTAAGAGTGAACCTAATGTAAACTATGGACTTTGTGATAATGATGCATCAATATACATTATCTGTTATAACATATGTACCACTCTGGTAGGAATGTTGATAATGGAGGAGGCTATGAGTGAATGGGGGCAGGGTACATATGGGAACCCCCTGTACTTTCTACTCAATCTAACCTTAAACGGTTCTAAAATATATAATCTATTTAAAATGGGGGAAAAAATTCTGAGATGAATAGCGGTGATGATTAAACAACAATGTGAATGTTCTTAATGCCACTTACCTGTACAATTAAAAATGGTTAAAATATTAAATGTTGTGCCATTTAATATTCTGTTATGCCATAATACTTTTTGTTGTTGTTAGTCCTCACCTGAGGACATTTTTTCATTGATTTTTTTAGATAGAGTGAAGGTAGGGAGGGAGAGAGAGAGAGAAACATCCATGTGAGAGAGACACATTGATTGATTGCCTCCTGCACAACCCCAACTGGGCCAGGGATTGAACCTGCAACCCAGGTGTGTGTCCTCGAGTGGGAATTGAACCTGTGACCCTTCGGTCCATGGGCAGATGCTCTAACTGCTGATCCAAATCAGCCAGGGCATCACAATACATTTTTTAAAGAAAAACTGGTTTTACTATGTGACTGCATTCTTGGGCATTTATCTCAGAGAAACAAAAACTTATTTCAGGCAGAAACTTGTATACAGATATTCATAGCACCTTAATGCAATAGGCCCAAACTGGAAACAACTAAAATATTACTCCATAGGTAAATGGTTAAACAAACTAGTGTATCTATGCCATGGAAGGCTATTCTGTAATAAAAGATATAAACTATACTTGCAATAATTAGGATGACTCTTAAAAAATTATGCTGAATTTAAAAAGCCAGTCTTAAAAGCATGCATACTGTGTGATTCCATTCATGTAAACATTTGTAAAATAATATAATTATAGATATGAACAATGGATTAATGTCTTCCAGGAGTTTAGGAGGGGCAAGGGGCAATAATGGGTGACCATAAAGGGATAAGGAACTCCTGGTGATGGTATGGTTAAGTATCTTGATTGTGGTAGCAGTTACGTGAAGCTACATATGTGAATAAATTATACAAAGTGACACACACGCTCACACATAAATTAGTGCCTGTGTAACTGGTGAAATACAAAGTAAGCTCTCTCTGTTGTGCTGATGTCAATTTCCTGGTTTGATATTATACTACAGTTATATAAGATGTTACCATTTGGAGAGACTGGGTACAATAGGCACAGAACCTACCCCTTTCCATGCACCTGTAATTATTTCAAAATAAAAAGTTTCTTTTAAAGTACATTGCACATGCTGTCTCATTTGATCATCACAATAACTTTGGGAAGTGAGTAGTATGATTATTCACATTTTATAGAAAAGGAACAGACCATGGGGCAAACTTCTAATAGAAGATTACACAGATAAAAGCAAGTAAAGCCACACTCTCTTGAAAAGTATTAAATATATTTATATTAGTATTTATAAGTATAAAAATGATTTAGGGAACCTGATAGCAGAAATTCAGGTGTTCTCTAATACCAAATTTGCAAAGTAAAAATAAAAAGCAAGCCCTCTATCTTCTGACAACTTACTATAGACTTGAAGATTGTAGCTCCTGGTGATGGTGCTCATCTTTTGAGAGACATTTATATTTATGTCAGCTTTGTAGATCCCTGCATCTTCCATCTTCAGATTGCTGATCTCCAGGCTGTAGATTTGATGTGGGGCACTTATTCGTTGATAATAATTTTGGTGGGTCACAGTAACCATGGGGGCTTTTCCTGGGACTGGTGTTACAAGAGCAACAGATGTTTTGGAATTCGTCCAAGCAATGTTCTCAACTTGCTGTAATTCTGAGACCTTTAAAGGGAAAATAACTGACTCCCCCAGAATCCCATTCACAGTGAGAATGTCTGTGTCTTTTTCAGCTGCTTCCAGACCTGAGGACATAAATAGAAAATTGTAGCCATTTGCCTATTGCACCTTTTAGAGTTCCCTGTCTTCCTAGGCCTGAGACTCCCCCAGGAGCTCCCATGGACGCAGGTCATCCAGTTTCTTGAGAATGCCTTTTTGACTTGGCATTCTGCTCTAGAGATATCTCCTATGTTATAATTGCTAAATTTTCTAAATAATTCTCATTCAAAAACTAAGTTTCCCAGTGAATTTCCAGAGATCCATTTCATTAAAAACATGTTTATCTAGACTTACAGACTCTGAGAGCTAAAAGGGATATGAGAGATGAGGACCATAAGCCTCCACAAGGGACTGAGATATTAAGTGTCTTTCTTTCCCAATGTCATTTACAAGTGGTAGGAGAGCTGGGGCAAGAGCCTGGGATGGCTACTGTGGTCTTTGCAAAAAAAAAAAAAAAAAAAAGTTACATTTACCACTCTATTATTGGAAGACACAGTGCTTTAGAAGCTCTGGAGTAAATACTCCCCAAGTTGATAATTTGGGAGGGTATCTTTTTTTGTTAACTACTATATCTCCAGTCCCTGGAAGAGTACCTGACACATAATGAGTGGTTAGTAAATATTTCTGGGATAAATTAATAAATGGATTTCACTTATGTGTTGCCTAGAATCTCTTGGAACAACTTTTGAAGTAAAGTTCATTTATTCATGCATATATTTATTAATGAATGCATATATTTATTCAAGGTCAGGTTTGTTTTGGATACCATGGCAGGTATTTATTAATGTAATCTATAAAATGAATGTTTGTTGAGCAAACTACTCTTTCAAGCATTAGAAAAGAAATGTCAGGCCAGGAGACAAACTGTTAATGGAAGATTACATAGCTAATATAATCTTCTAAGCATTATGTAAGGAGTTGAGGATACAGTGGTGGATAAAAATAGATATAGTGCCTTCTTCCGGAATATAACAGTTAAATAAAAAGACCAGTGTGGATCAGATAACCACAAATGGTTAGATACGAAATATGTAAGTATAATGGTGATTGAGAGAGCATAGAAAGGGGAACTTGCTCTGTTTTGGGAATTCAGGAACACTTTCTAGTAAACTCTGAAGGATGAGTGCTTTTAAAATCTAACATGAGAAAAAAAATGAAAGGTTCACTTTCTTTCCCTCCATCATCTAATAAAGATAAATTGATTTAATATATAGTTTATAAAATGAAAAGGCAATATAATTATGTTATTTTCTCATCTCTTCCTCTTCTTTCATCGCTTTGATATTCTCACTGAGCTCTATTTAGTGAGAAATAGTGTGTTGAGCCTCCATGGATTATACTAAAAATATTTTAAAACCAATGGATACAGGGCTGTTCTGATAAGTATTGGCTGCATGTAAGCCCCAAAGAGCAGGGCATCAGTTTTCCACATAAGTGGGTTCAGGCTGAGTCTACAATTTATCCACGGCTTGGCATAAAGAGAGCAAGAATAAGGGTCACTGAGAATACAGGTCAAAAAGGCAAAGGGATTTTTTTTTTAACCTGATGAGGCTCTCTCATTAAGGCTGGTTTTGTCCTCCACTCAGTAGTTCCAGAATGAGCCCAGGGGCTGCAAATATAAACCTCTTTTCTTTCAGACCAACCAACATTTTCCCTTAGGAAGACTATTCCAGGCAAGACCTGATGACTTAGTTGGGGTAGGATATGTAACAGGGCTCTGGGGGGAGAAAGATACTAAGGACCCTCATTTACAAACATTTATTAAGTGCTAACTATGTGTCAGATGCTGTGTTAGAAGCTCAGGGATGAATAGGACATGGCTGCAGTCACGGGGAAGACAGACATGTATACAAGTGTAAAGTAATGCAATGTGACATGTGGTAAGAGCACCAGGAACCCCCACTGAGGGACCAAGGAGATATTTTAAGGTTGTCTTCAGTGGTAGGAGTCATAGTTTACCAAAATCCATTCTCTTAAACATTAATTCTCTCCAGGTAAACTGTTTAACTGGGCTGATGACATCTGGTAGAAGAGCATGTGGAGTGTCCCAGCCGGAACCCCTGGATGTCCCAGATATAGGTATGTGACTTGGGCATTCTCACAGAGCCTTGAGCTCACAAGAACCCTGAACTTGGTTTAAAGACGCTGTGCCACCTTGAAATTCTTCATATTATTTGAACAAGGAGGCCCACATTTTCATGTTGCACTGGGTTCTGCAAATGATACAGCTGGTCCTGGTAACAGATCTCTCATGTCTGTCTTATGACTTTATTGATTTATTGATTTAAATCAGGCTCCTAATACCTAATTCTGCACTTTGGATTCAGGTTAGGTGTGAGGAGATGGATGAGGGGTGAGTGCCAGAGACTCATTTTGGTGGATCTTTTATCAAACCCCAGGAAGTGTGTAGGCAGTTTGCTAAGGCGGAGACATTTTTAGTATTAGAGCAGCTGTGTAGCCACAAAACGGTTGGCGTGTGAGGATGTCTTTGAAATGATGTCTTATCTTCCATTGCAAGTTATTCAGGAAATGGTACTGGGTGTCAAAGTATAATGAGGCAGGGTAGGTGGCAGATAGAAGAAGCTGGGGGAAGTCCTGCTGCTCTTTGTGCTGCTGGTGTTGATGATAATTCTGGGCTTGCTAATAAATGGAATAGGGTTTGTACAGGCATAAAATAAAGATGCTGCCACCTTCAAATGTTCCAACTGTATGTGAGAGGCAGCTGTAAAACCATAGCATGTGGAAAAATAGGGAGGCTGAAGATGTAGGTTCTAGTACTTATACTTATGAGTTGAGCAACCTTAATAAAATCACAAAACCTTTCTGAGTCTCAGTTTCTTCATTCACAGAATAAAAATAATAGCTGTAAAATTGCCCTACCTAATTAATGATTAGCAAATCATATAATGAGTAGAAATGCTTCATTAACCATAAAGGCAAAATACATATTAGTTATTTCCGAGGTTAATAATGATAATAATGAGGATAAGAATCATCCTCATCATTATCTTTATTATCACCTTAATAATTGGTACCTGTCCTTGAAGGCTTTCCTACTCTATTCCTATGATGGCCTTTGTAACACCAACACCATACTGAAGAATGTATAAAGAGCCATTATTGTTATAACCCAGTAATTCTCCATCTGCTGGAAGAAGGAACCTCTCCTGGGTTCCTTGAACCAGAGTTGTTTTTGCAAAAATTCTTGAAGAGGAAGGTATGCATCAGCCATGACCACAAGGGTATTGACCATGAGCTTAACTAATCAGGAGATGCCAGGCGGGGCAATGAGACATTCAAGGCTAGGGTCTAGCAAATGTTAAGAAATATAAAATAAACAACTTGTACAGTTACTAACTGCTGATATCCACTTCTGTACACATAGCTTGCTTGCTCTGCTAAACTCTTGAGTAACCCCTGTCCTATATAAGCAACCCTCCCCCTGAGCTCAGGGCTGCAGTTCTCCTCTGTGTAGGTTGGCTGCAGTCCCTGTGCAGGTAATAAAGCTCTTAATATTCAAAATGACTTGGTGTCCGAGTGAGGATGACTCTCCTGGATTACAACATTTGGAGGCCCCAGCGAGATCAACCACGAGGTCCCCCACTCTAAGGGGTTGACCTCCTCGGAATAGATGGAGGGAACCTCCACATCCTCCACTGCTACATTTGGCTTTCAATTCAGTTTGGAGCTTTCTGTTTCCTCCAGGGACGTGGGGACGTAGGTAAGGGGAATCCTCTTTTGTTTGTTTGTTCGAGCCTCAGAGGCATTTGAATTGGTGGTGAATTGCAGGTGGGACGCCGCACCAACTGCATACCCCTGGTCAGAACAGGACGCTGTTTTCTGGCTGTTGTTTTGGTTCTGATCTGCAGTACCGAGTTGGTTTGGTCCCACGGGTGTGGTGTAATTTTTGTCTGTCTGTTCGTGTTTCTGTGTTTCTTGTTTTGTGTTTTTATTGCCTTCTGCCTTCCAGGATGGGACAAGGAAGTTCTTCCCCCCAGACTCCCCTGGAATGGGTGCTTGCTAACTTTTCTGATTTCTTTAAGCGCTCCTGTGACTATGAAAAAGCCTGCAATCCTGGTTTCCTGAGAACACTCTGTGAACTTGAATAGCCTGCCTAAGGGGTTAATTGGCCACCCGAAGGTAGTTTCAATTTGCAATTGGCTTTTACGGTCCATCAGGAAATATACAGGAGCCTTGGTCACCTGGAACAAATGCCATATATTGATATTTGGATTGCTATCACTACTGACAAACCCAATTATAGTAAGAAATGTCAGTGTCCAGAGGTTCAAATGAAAGTAAAAACAGTTTTGTTAACAATGCCGCACCCTGCCCTGAAGGACAGTTAACTCCTCCCAGCCCCCAAGGAAATTCTATCTTGTCCTTCAGGACCCCTCTTGAGGATATACTAAACCTGAGTTTGCCTACTTTGGGTTCTTATTACAGAAAAGCTAGAAGATGAATTTGGATCTGTTAATGATCTAACCCAATGTCTAAATAGATATAGATGTATTTGGATGTACTGGCTTTTTTGTAGTGAGATCTCAATGCCTCTCTGCAAGGCTTATTAACATTCTCACAGGCAAAGTGTTTAACCATTAAGTGCCAGCACGGTCCAGCTGCAGAAAGGGGCATATTCTTTCCATGCCAGCCTGGGCTGCTCCTCTGCAGCGGGTTTAGTAGCAGTTAGTTTCCAACAGGCTTCTCTGAACTTTAGGGAGTTAAATATAGGGATCCCAGGCACGGGTGCAAAGTGCTCTTAGAGAGTTAAAAAACACGTTGCCCCGCATAAACGTGTGTTAGGATGTTGCTCCCCTTTCCTGCATCCTTTTGTAAACCTGGGGTCAGGGGAAATGTTCCCATTCCTCTGACTGCGGTAGGACCCAAACACTGTTGGGGGAAGGGCTTCCTTAGACACTTTTCACCATGTTCTCCTGTTAGGCCTATTGGCCCAATTGGCTGAATTAGCAAAGGTAGTAGTAGCAGACTTAAGGGAAACAGGGCACACGGAATAGGGTCACCCTAG